GAGTCTGAGAATGGCCATGCCGAGGAGAAAGAAGAGGCTGGTGGGTAGCGGGGGAGAGTGGGCTTCTGGGAGAGATGGGGTGGGAATTTGACAGCTTTTCTATTCTCCCCTCCAAACTCAACATTAAAAATTCAACAACTCCTGCATAGAGGAAGCACTCAAGGAAAAGGAGAAGCCCAAGGAAGAAGAAAGGGAGAAGCCTAAGGACCCTCCCGGGCTGGAATGTAAGCCCCGGCCCCTGCATAAGACTTGCTCTCTTTTCATGCGCAACATCGCACCCAACATCTCCCGGGCTGAGATCATTTCTGTGAGTGGGGAAACTGGCCTCCAGTGCCATATTGTGGCGGGGCAAGGCTGGGCAAGGTAATATGGCCCTGTTCTGTAAGAGGGAAGCCTCCTTCCCATGGGCCCTTGCCTGTTGAGGGCTGGCACCTAAGTGCATCATTTGCTGCCAAGTGCTGCTATTCTCCATTGGTTTTTCCCTCTCTGAGTAAAGAGTCAAAGGCAGTCTCCTAGGGTTCTAGGGATGTGGAATTGGAGGAAGAATTGAATCCTTGAGTCACTAAATGGGGTTTCTGTGCCTCTGCTTCCCTAGCTTTGTAAAAGATATCCCGGCTTTATGCGGGTGGCACTGTCGGAGCCCCAGCCTGAGAGGAGGTGAGCAGTGGAGAGAGGTGATCCTGGATTCCTTGGGGAAAAGGTTCAGGGGAAGGTTAATGGACAACTAAACCTTCATCCCAGGATTACTCTGACATTTCTTTCTTTAGATTTTTCCGTCGTGGCTGGGTGACCTTTGACCGCAGCGTTAACATCAAAGAGATCTGTTGGAACCTGCAGAATATCCGAGTGAGTCCTCGGGGTGGGCCTCACAGTCAGGGCTGTCCATGCTGCACACAATCCACTGCATAACTGCTCATTCATTCTGCTCCCAGTTCATCTACCCAGTCTGCTCACAGGTCTCTGGGCTAGGCTTTGGGACTGTTAGCACAGACAAGACAGACCTGTCCTTGTCCTCAGGGAGCTTAATCTAACCACTGGTGTTTCAGTAGAGGCAGCCTTCCAGGTGTTGCTTCTGTTCTCTCCAGCTCCGGGAGTGCGAACTGAGCCCTGGTGTGAACAGAGACCTGACTCGTCGCGTCCGCAACATCAATGGCATTACCCAGCACAAGCAAATAGTGCGCAACGACATCAAACTGGCAGCCAAGTTGATCCATACACTGGATGACAGGACCCAGCTCTGGGCCTCTGAGCCTGGGACACCTCCTTTGCCAACAGTCAGTGGCTCTCTGTGGAACTTTTTCAAAAGCAGCATATCCCATCTCCTCTGTTTTGGGTCCCTCTGGTCTTACTGGATCTGTAATATTGACGCCTTGTATTCACCTACTTGCTTCTGCTTCTATTTGGGCGGAACTTCCAGCAGAGGAGATTGGCACTAGTGATTGTTTGTTGGTATGGTTAGAACAATTACAGAACAAAGACAAATAATGAGATGGGGTTAAGCTGAGTGGACCTTGAGCTCCTCCTGGATGCACCTCGCCTTCTCAAATGCAGTTCCTCTGCTGCCTAACCCCAGGGGTTTCTCTGCCTCACTTGCCCCTCTTTTCTCTCTCTCTACCAGAGTCTGCCCTCACAGAACCCAATCTTGAAAAATATCACTGACTATTTGATTGAGGAAGTGAGTGCTGAGGAGGAGGAGCTGCTGGGGAGCAGTGGGGGGGTTCCCCCAGAGGAGCCTCCTAAGGAAGGGAACCCAGCGGAGATCAATGTGGAGCGGGATGATAAGTTGATAAAGGTGCCAATGAGAGTGGAGTGTGGTGGGTGTGCCAGCCTGGCTCAAGTGGGAAAGGGGCAAGTCGGGTGAATGTATGGCTTCTTGTGCTTAGGTTTTGGACAAACTACTACTCTATTTGCGCATTGTACATTCCCTGGATTATTACAACACGTGCGAGTACCCCAATGAGGATGAAATGCCCAACCGCTGTGGCATCATCCATGTTCGAGGGCCCATGCCACCCAACCGCATCAGTCATGGCGAAGGTTAGCAGCCAGCTTCCCCACTTAATTTCCTTGGTTTTCCTGTCTTCCTAGTTGCCTCTGGTCTTTGTTCTGCTCTGGTAGCAGCACTCTGGCATCCTCTCATCCCCTCCTTCTTGCTTATTAGTCTTTTGCTGACCTGTTGTCCCATCTCTTCCCAAACTGCAGTGCTAGAGTGGCAGAAGACATTTGAGGAGAAGCTGACTCCGCTGCTGAGTGTACGGGAATCTCTTTCAGAGGAAGAGGCCCAGAAGATGGGTCGCAAAGACCCTGAGCAAGAAGTGGAAAAGTTTGTCACCTCTAACACCCAGGAACTGGGCAAGGATAAGTGGCTATGCCCTCTCAGTGGCAAGAAATTCAAGGTCTGGGATATTAGAAAGCTGTGTGTTAGAACAGTGGGAGGAGGGGTTGAGCTAGGAAGCCAAGGCCTGGCGAGGAAACTGCACAGCATGGCTGGTGGGAGGGAGGTTGATTATCCCTTTCAGAAGGTCTGGGGAGTTAGGAAACCCACATGGCTCATCCTGTTCTGATCCTCTCTCTGCACCCAGGGCCCTGAATTTGTACGCAAACACATCTTTAACAAGCATGCAGAGAAAATTGAGGAAGTGAAGAAGGAGGTGGCATTTTTTAACAACTTTCTTACTGATGCCAAGCGCCCAGCTCTACCAGAGATTAAGCCAGCTCAGCCCCCTGGCCCTGCCCAGAGTAAGATACGATCCATGAGGGTCTGCCACTTTTTTTTTCTCTTGACTTTTCAAGGACTCCTGGTTCTCTATCCTCTCTTCCCTAAAAAGTTTCTACTAATCCTCAGGCCATATTTCTGAAAACTGGTTGTCACTGCCCTGAGCTGTGCAGCTGTGCCTCTCCCCCCCTCCCGCAGTAATTCATGTCCCTGTCCGTGTTGTACTCCCCCCAGGCCTGACCCCAGGACTCCCCTACCCACACCAGACTCCCCAGGGCCTGATGCCCTATGGTCAGCCCCGGCCCCCCATCTTGGGCTATGGAGGTAAGTCCATAGGAGGGACTAGAGAAGGGTGTGGTGGTTGTAGGGGCTTGGGAGAAAGAAAACTTAGCTGGGATGTGTTAGGTCATAAGTTTTCAACTCAACACTAGTCTTTTCATAGCTGGTGCAGTCCGTCCTGCAGTGCCCACTGGAGGGCCTCCGTACCCCCATGCCCCCTATGGTGCGGGCCGAGGGAACTATGATGCCTTCCGAGGCCAGGGAGGTTATCCTGGGAAACCTCGGAACAGGTGAGGATGAGCTAACATAAGATGTCTAAGCTAACATAAGATGTCCAAGCTTGCTCCTTTTCAGATTCCCTTTCAGGGGCCCTCATCTCCTCTCCCCTCTTATCTCACAGGATGGTCCGGGGAGACCCACGGGCCATTGTGGAATACCGTGACTTGGATGCTCCAGATGACGTGGATTTCTTTTGAGTCTACTTCACTCCCGGTATCATTTGTATTTGTGACTGCCTCGTCCCATCTAGCTCTGAGAATTTTTTGTACATTCAGCCGTACTGCCAATAAAAGCACTTCCACAGTGATTCCTGACAGAGTATATGCATATAATTACTCAGAATCTCCCAAAGATCAGCTGGGGCTATGGTTAGCTGGTTCTTGCCACTTTATTGATGTCAAAGGCCTCAGACTCTGTCCAGGCTTCATGGGGACCTGACATCAGGCAACCTCTGCCTTTGGTGGTTGTGGGGTGGGTAGGTGAGCACATGTAGGGCCAGAGTCTCTGAGACTGGCCTCAGTCCAGGGCATGCTGCTGCTTTTTGGAGGTACAGCTGGTCAAGCACAGGTTGTAGAAGGAGTTAGGGTTAAAGGCTTTGCCTACCTCTTGCCAGCCCACCCACCCAGCAGCCTGTAGTTGGCTGGGGTTTTTTGGAGCACCCCAGCAGTGAGGGTCCAATACCAGGACATAAGCTTCCATGCCTGGCCCCAGGGCGACTCCTAGCAAGGCCTTGGACTGGGCATCTGCATCTCCCCCAACCATTACAGGCCCCCCTCCCCCAGCGAAGTGGGAGTAAAGCATCTCCATTTGCCCCTGAAGTCCAGCTCCACGGGGCACGTGGCATAGGCGTGCCTGGGGCCCTCCGAAATAGTCAAGGCAGAGACTGGCCTCGACACAGCCAATCCAGCTCCGGGAGCCCCGGAACCCGGGGGGCTTGTCGCCCATGTCCTCCAGGGCAGCCTGCACGTCAGCCAGCCCGGGCACACCCGCGGGCCGGCCCTCTGGCCACGAGCACAACGTTTGCAGAGTGCGGTAGCCGCAGCCCCAGCCCCGGTCATCCAGCCCGTGGCAGCCGTAGTGATAGTAGAGATAGTGGCCCGAGAGGAGGGCCAGGCGAGCGGGGCCGCGGCCGGGCGGGGCCAGGCCCAGGTGTACGTCCTTAAGCGGCTCCAGGGTGGCGGGCTGGAGCGGAGGTCGCCGAGGCCGGGCAGATGCGTCCTCCTGGCAGCGCGGAGGGAACTCCGGAGGCTGGCTTCCTTTCAGCCCTGGGGCTTGGGCTAGCTGCAGGCAGAACTGGCGCGCGGGGGTCAGGTACGCTCTCGTCCTTCCGTGGAAGGCACGACCGGGCGCGGGGACAACAGCAATCCGCGAGGATCCCACAATGCACTGCTGCGCCGCGCCCCCACTGTTGTTACTGCGCAGGCGCTGGCACCGCCTCGTTGGGTGGGGTGGTGCTTGTTGCGGTTCCTGGCTGCGGCCTTCCTGTACCCTTTGGAGATCCGCAAATCTGGTGGACTGTAGCAGCCAATGTCCATTCACTAATCCCCAGTGGTTGAGGCAATCTGCCCGGACCCCGCTCTCCAGTCGCGCACACGTCTGTGGCTGTAACAGTTTATTGGCAGCCCGGAGGGGCGAAGGCACCGCGGGGGATGGGCTCCGCCCGAGACATGCAGAGGACGTGAACTCCCGGGGGAAAGTCGGAGGTGGGCAGGGTCGAGGGCTCTTCTGTTATATCCCAGCCCTTTAATAAATAGTATATACAGCTAGGGGGCTGGGCGGAGCGGGGGGATGTGGGCGTCCCGTCTGGGTCACAGGTCTGAGCAGCGGTCCTGCTTGCTGTAATGGTCAAACTGGTTCTTCCAGTGCACCATGTAGGAGCTCCAGCGGTGGAACTCGGCTTTCCACTGGCGCTCCGCCTCGTCCAGCGTGTCTGTGGCCCGAGCGCCCGGGCAAGTGGGTTGGGGAAATGAGAGTGCAGGACGCCACATGGGATGGAAAGATCAAGAGGTGAATGTGCCAAAGACGGTAGACGAGAGGGAGGATGAGGGTACAGGAGGATGGCGGGAAGGAGGAGGGGGTAGAAAATGACCGGAAGACAGGACAGAACGGATTAGAATGGGGGAGGGTTCGTGGGTCAGTGGGGAAAAGAGAGGAGACAGAAATGGTTGACAATTATAGCCCCGCTTGGGAGTGCTATCTAGTCCCCCAGCCTCCCTCTTCCTCCAACACCCGGCTCAGTCTCCAAATAATTATATATATATAAAAAGAAAATCGGCCTTTTCATTTCCATTTGAACAACACAGACGCTCCCTGAGATGGGTCGTGGGTCACCTCCCCCCGTTCCCCCAACGCTGCCCTTGTCCAGGTTGAGTCGGTTTGAGGCGGGAGGGGGCGCTGGGTCGGAGATCCCTGAGTGGGGCCCTTCCCCGCGGCCCGACCACTCATTAGAGGAGGGGGCCCCTAAGGCCGGAGGGGAAGAGGCCCCGGTCACAGACGCAGGAGCCCGGAAAGGATGAGGGGGAGGAAGAGGAGGAGGGGCAGGGGGAAGTCGGGCCTGGGCCTCGGGGCAGCCTCCCCGTGGGCGGGGCCTGAGCAGGTGCTGGGAGCCTCCGCGGCTGGGGGGAGAAGAGAGGGATTACACCCGGCCAGCTCCCGCTCCCCTCTGCTCCCCACTTCACCCTGTCCCTGCCCACTGGCTCCTGCGTACCGGTCGCGCTGAGCAATTTGGGTAGGAAGCGGTTCCAAAAGGCACAGGCTTGAGCGCGCAGTCCCCGTCTCACCTCCAGCGGCCGCAGATTCAGGCTCACGTACTGCTGCGCTCCCGCTGTGTACGGTGGCCACTGGGGGGCTTTGGGGTCCCGGGGGTCATTGGGGTCCCTGAGGAAAGATAGGGAATGCTCAGCCTCAGGCAAGCCCACCCTGCCCTGGGGCATAGACTTGGAGAGGGGGAGGCCGATTGACCTATGGAGAACCCCCTCTTCCTTTCACCGCCTCTTTAATCTTTCTTTTCTCCAATATCACCTATCAGCTGGAAGTCTTCCCCTTCTACCTGCCCATCTTTCTCTTCTATCTTTCCCTCAGTTGTATTGCTGCATCTTTGTTTCTCGCGTTTAAGAAATCGCTAGGATTTATTGAGCCTTTACTATGCAACCAGGCCCACCAGGTACATGGCTGCCAACGTGTTTACTTTTGACAACACCCATGTGATGTCAGATTTGTTGCTCAGACAGGTGAACTGTTGGGTGTGTATATGCTGGCACGTGTGTCACAGCTGATAAAACTGTGGTCAGTCCAGCTGAATCCTGCTCTACAGGTCACTGCTAACTGCTTTGGTAACTCCTTTGTCTCCTGTCTCCGCCTCTGTCAGTCTCTTCAGGGTCTTTGTCATTCTCTCTCTGCCCTTTGTCTCTTTTTTCCCTTTGTGAATTTCCCTCTTTCTGGCCTTTTCTGTCTCTGCTTGTCTTCCTCTTTTTCTCTATCTGTCTGGGCCTTAACTCCCTGGTGCCCTGAGGCCCTCCTCCCCTCGGCACTGCTGACCCTGTGCGGGCGAAGTTGGCCCAGTATCTCATCAAGCGCTGGGCAAAGCTTCTCTCCTCCACAGTGTAGTTTAGTGAGGGTTCCAGGGGAAGCCCAAAGATGAACTCGATCTCATAGCCGTGGGGCACCCCCATCCAGAGGGGCCAGGAGAGCGTGGACGCACGGTGTTCAAAGATGTAGGCATAGACCCGAGCACCTTGGGCAGCCAGTCGCCCAGCCAGCTGGGCCACAGGGCACACGACGTTGTGGTCGCCCACTACATCACTCATGGCCTCCCTCAAGCGCGCTGGGTCCTCAGGGTGCAGCCAGTCTGTGTAATGCAGGACCACAGCCTCGGCAGCCAGGTCACTTGCTTGGGGGACCCCAACCCGCACCCCAGCCAGGAACTGGGCTCGGCTGATGAGAGACTCGTTGTCTTTGCTGAAGCCTGGGGCCCCATACACCAGAAAATAGGAGCCCTCATCCTTCACCACACCTACCAGCACCTGTGGGGACAGGATGGAGGGACAGGGGTGGGGGCACAAACACACAGGCAGACAAATACACGGACAAAGAGCCAGAGATGAACAGTTAAAGACCCAGAACCATGGAGGAAGAAAGTATGAGATTGGGGAAGGGACAGAAACAAAGTGAAAATACACCCACATTCCCTTTCCTCTGTCCCACAGACCACCCTGGGATCTGAGGCCTTGAGGAAGGAGGGGGTGGCAATGGGGCCCAGAAGTCTGGGACTTAAGGAGTGGGTCTTGAGAAGCCCTCATGCCTGAATCCCCCAGGGGAAGAGGTGGGTGGGAGAATAGACCTAGAGGAACCTGTGTCACCCCCTCCAGCCACTAGTCACCTTCAGGCCATGAAAGTCTCCAGCATTGATGAGGGCCTCAGGTGTGTCACTGAGGAAGTCTCCATCCACCACAGGCACAAAGGAGAAGCGGAAGACACTTTCCTGAGGCAGCACATGCCATTCGTGGTCCACCAGGTCCTGAGCTGGCCGTGTCCGCAGACAGGCCACCAGCTCTGTGTCATTGCCACCAGTGCCACCCAGGGGACAGCCTACAAGGCGGGCTAGCAGCGTGGCCCTGCGGCGGGCCTCTCCCACACCCACTGTGGCCCAAGGCCCATTGGGTGCACCGCTCTGCATCACAGCCCTGTGGAACAGGCCCCGGCTGGGTGGGGACAGCAGGTGCATGCCCACAGAAGCAGCACCTGCGCTTTCCCCAAACAGAGTCACTGACATTGGGTCCCCCCCAAAGGCTGCCACATTCTCCTGTACCCAGTGCAGTGCCAGCCTCTGATCCAGTAAGCCCATGTTGCCTGGGGCTTCTCGGCTCCCCGGTAGGGCCAAGAAGCCAAAGGCTCCTACCCGGTAGTTCATGGACACCAGCACAGTCCTTTCTGCCTGGGCCAGGAAGCGACCATCATACACGTCCAGGGAGGAGGCGCCACTGTAGAAGCCACCCCCATAGATCCAGATGAGCACAGGGGTCGGGGAGGCAGGCCGGGGGTATGGTGTCCACACATTGAGGTAGAGGCAGTCCTCGCTTAGCTCACGGTTGGGGTTCCACATCTCGGTGCCCTCAAAGCCAGGGTACAAGGTGTCCACGTATTGGTAGCAGACACTTTGGAAAGCTGTGGCATCCAGCACCCCTAGCCAGGGCCGCTTGGGCTCTGGTGGAAGAAAGCGACGGGGGCCCACAGGTGGCTCTGCGAAGGGGATGCCCAGAAAAGCAGAGACAGGGCCCCCAGGGGCCATTAGGCGGATGCCTCGCAGCCGGCCCCCATGCACCGTCACCAGCAGCTCTGGGTCCTCCTCAGCCTCTGCCCCTCCTCCCAGGAGGAAGAGGAGGAGGAAAAGTGGGGAAGCCAGGGAGGGTGTGTTCAGAAGACAGGAGGGGGGCCTCATGGCTGACAGGGCAGGAAGGAGTCTGTTGAGGGAAAGAAAGGCACAGTGTGAAGGCCCGAGGCTGCCACAAGGGAGGAGATTAGGTAACACTCTTGCCCAGGGGTTATCACTGAGCTGCAGAGGAGGTGGGGCAGGTTGGCAGAGAGGAGGAGAGAAATGGGGGGAGGGGGAGAGGGAAGGGAGACAGGCAGAGACAAGGACACAGGCAGACAGGGAGAAGCAAGAGGGGCCAGAGATCAGGCACACCACACACACAGACAAATACAGGGAACAGTGGTGAGACCTGCCAAGCCATAACCTCCCCTGCTGTGCAAAAAGCCCACTGTCCTCACCTTCTTCCCCCAGCTGGGTGGACAGGGTTGGGCCCAATGGGAGCAGTGAGCAGTGAGGGCACCCGCACCAGAGGCTGCAGTCCACGCACAGGCCACCCGACAGGGGCGGGGCCCTCACTGATGGGAGGCGCCAATGGGGGCCCTTGGGGTGGCTTGAAGGTGCAGACTCTCCTGCGCTGGCCAGGGCCAGGGCCCTGCGGGGATGGGTTGGGGTTGGTGTGGGTGCTGCAGGCCCCAGGGCACCCCCAATCCTGTCCACTTAACACACATTCTTCCACCCTGCCCCGCCTCATCCACGGTCTGGCGCACAGCGCTGGGACCCGCAGTTGCCCGTCAGCTGCGCACTGCCCTTGCCTAGCCTCAGAGAACAGGCTTCCAGCTCTTGCCCCCCAGGGTTAGAGTCCCTCATCCGTCCGATGATGCGGTGCATGCTGCTGCCAGCGGGAGGCAGTAGAGCCTAAGAAAAGGACCACGTTCCCCGCCTCGAGTCCAGGAGCCCAGAACTTGGGGCGGGGGGTCTGTGGGCTTGCGGGCCATTGCCGAGGGGTCTGAAGGGCGAGCCGGGACGCTGGTGTTCTGGGAGCTCCGGAGATCTCCGGCTGCAGGGGCAGGAGCGCTATTTTGGGGCAGCAGCTGCTGCGGTTCCGGCATCTCCAGCCAACGGATCAAAATTCCCCGGGTCAGAACTGCCCCCTCTCGGGGCAGGCACCCCTCGCCCAGCCCCTGTCGCTCTGAGCTGGAGTGGTGCTGCTGCTGGAGATTAACTAGGAAACCTGAGTGGGGCTAATTATAACTCGGGGCTTCCGCTGAGCCACCCTTTCCCCCCAAATAGAGACGGAGTCCCCACGGGAGGGGGACCCCTGGGCCTCAGAGCGGGCTTCAGCTGGGCACTGCGCAGGGGCGCTGGGGTCGCGGAATCCGCGGGCGCCGGTAACCTGCGCAGCTCGGGTTCCGCCCCAGGCAGGGGGCGTCTTCCAGTGTCTCCAGACTCGGAGGCGAGAGCAGGAAGGGGATCTCGGGGGTCCCCACAGAAATTCGAGAGCAGAGGCGGCGGCCGGCCCTGCGGGGTGCCCGATCCCGTGCGGGCGACCGTAAGTATGCGGCGGCGAGGAAAGAGTTAAGGATGAGTGTGGGGTGGCGGGGGGCGTCGCTGGACACGGTAGGCGTCCCCTTTGGTGGGCCTGGATCCCTCTGGGAGTGCACCGTCCCCCGGGCGCGGAATGGGCCGCGGGTCGGGGGAGGACCCGGGGGGCGGGAGACTTACCTGAGGCGGCCGAGCCGGGCCGGGCCGGGCCGCGCCGCGCCAGGAGCTGGAGGCGGCCGATGTTCCCCGGCGCTGGCTGAGCCGACTCTGACAGCCGCCGCCTCCGGCCCCCCGCACACACCCCTCCGGGCCGCTCGGCGCCCCCGCCCGCGCCCGCCCCCGCCCACTCTCTCCCCCCCCGCCCCTCCCCGCCTCCCGGGGCTGCCACTTCCCCCCTCCCTCCTTCGGAGCCAAGACCCAGAGACCCTGGAGCACAGACGGACTCCAGGGACAGACCCCGACAGACGGACAGACATGCGGTGACAGGCACGACCCCAGGACACGCGGCGGTGGAGTAGACATCCACAGTTATACCCAGACGGACAGAAGACCGCGGAACCAGACATACACACACACAGTTGGTCTCACGCAGTGACTGCCGCAAACACAGTGACCAGCATTCACAGACGGATGGACGGACACGCTCTGACACACCAACAGCTTCGGTCAGGGATAGGGCCCGAGGAAATGAGCATCCCTAGCCACCACACCGCAGGGGCGGCGTGGGAGGACTGGACGTGAAAGTGTGACAGAGGACCTCCTCAGGGGCCCGGGTGACACTGGTGGAGAAATGGTGACCTGGGATACTCCCGGGGATAAGGGCACACCTGTGGGAATGAAGTGAACATGAGGTCATGAGTGGAAATGAAGGGGGTACCCATAGAAGGAGACCCCTGGGGGGGGAGAGGTGACTTGGGGACACACACCAGAAGAAAGGCCAACGTGGTGGCACGTGCAAGGCTACGGGGCGAGGCCGCACTCCGCCGCCACAGTGGAAACTTCCGGAACCCCCATGGGTGGGTTTGCGCTGGTTCCCTGACGGGTGACCTCGGACGTTCGTCACCAGAGTCCGGTAGGGGCATGACATCACCAGACCAGGCTCTCATTGGCCACCGCGCCTGGCAGGTGGGAGCGGCCTGGCCCAGGCGCCCCCAGCCTGCTCGCTGGAGCCTGGGCGGCACGGATCCCCACGTCCCGCTCTCCCGGAGATGGGTTCCCCATGGGAACGGTGCAGCCGCGGGGCGTCCCTACGTCCAAGGTGACGTTGGAAAAAGTGTGCAGCGGTGTGTCCATACGAGGGTGCCGCGCGGAGGGGCCCTACTCTGGGCTGTCGGCTCAGGAGCCCGAGGCCCGCGGCGTGGGAGATCTGCTGGCGCGGCCAAGCGTCGGGCGTGCGTGCTCGCGCGCGGCGGTGAGGGGGCGCTGCGTGGCGCGGGCGCGCGCGCGCACTCTCACAAGGCAGCTGGTGGTCCCGCTGCGCCAAGACCCCGCCCCTCCCCTAGTCCGCCGCCGCCAGCGGCTGAGAGCCCCGGGTCTCGGGGTCTCGCGAGGAAAGCGGGGTCCACCCAATATTAAGAGACATGCCTCTGCGCGGTCCCGGCTCTCCTAGCAGGGCTCGCTCCAGGATCTCCCCGCGGGAACCATTACCCGCAGGCCGGGGGACTCACGCTGGACCACGTCAGTTAGCGGGCAGCGGCCGCCAGGTGGCGCGGGAGACAGCTGCTCGGGCCTTGGAGACGGGGATGGAGTACAGGCGATGAGGAGATTAAACCTGCGCCAACTGTTCCCATCGTTTCTGCCTCCCGCCCTTTACTGTTCAGGCACCCCAAATCCCCTGCATGAACACCGAGGTTGTCTGCATCCGGTCTTCCGGCCGCACTGATTGAGAGCTGCTCATCCATCAGACCATGTTCTCAGTTCTGCTCCCTGAAGAGCAGGCATAAGGGCTGTGGGTGGGCGGTAGGGCCAGGAAAATGAACAGTCGGTGTTGCCGCGAGAGAAAAGAATCTGAGGCAGGTTTCGGAGTTTGGTAATTATGAATTACTAGAATGATGAAAACAAACCATGAATTGAATGAGCAGCGAGGCCTGCCCCAGGCCTAAGGTTGTAGAGATTCTTGGCCTGTAAAGGCTCTGGTTATAATGGGGCTTCCCTCTCTGTTGCTCCCTAAAATGGGCTGTGCCACACAGGCACCTCAGCTGACTTCTCGAATCATGAGGTCCTAGAGAAGCAGGGACAGCTTACAGCCCAGATAGTTATGAACAAGTGATACCTTAGATAGCTTAGAAAGAGAAAGGACTGGGTGAGGTCTAGGAGCTGGCCCAGCAAACACCTTGTCAAGGTCTGTGCTGACCTCAGGCTGGACCTGAGGTTGGAGTCATGGACAGGGCTGCCATCTCTCAGGAAGGTAGACCCTATCTTCAGCTGGGCAGGGATAAGTGGATTTAACTGAGGGAAAGATGCCCAGATGTGTCTCCAGGGGATGGAGTCCAGTTCCTGCCTGCTTGGGGATGGCATTAATGAGGCAGAACCTGTGAGGGATCCATGAGACGTAGGGGCAAGGCAGGTTATGGAGCGTTCTGAAGCTAGAATTTTATTTTTGGCAGGGGGGTGGGTGGGGGAGGGGCTGGGGCAGGGAGGGAGGCAGGCATGGGCTATGGAAGTTCAGCCAGCAGGAAAGGGATGAAGAAGTGACATTTGGAGATGCTTGAGAGTCTGTGGCAGGGAGAGGATGCAGCCATTTATGTCAATACTCTTCTTCCCTGCTCCCCAGGTATGGGGAGGGCAGGGGCAGGGCTGCACAGGGGAGATGGGAGGAAGGTCAGGCAGAGGTGAGGTTGGGAAAGGAGGAGGGTGTCCTGCTTCTGGATCCTCTGATGTTCTTCCCCAGGCACTGGGTCAGGGAGAGATCAGCTGAATGTGCAGTCAGATGAATCTGCAGTCCTACACAGAGTCCTAGGGCATGTAAGTCCAGTGTCTGTGGGGCAGGAATGCAAAAGGAGGCCACGGCTCTGTAGCTGTAAGCAGTTCTGGGAAATGTGCCAAGGGCCCACAGTTATGTCTCAGCCTGCAGTTTGCCCCAGGATTGTGAGCATGGAGGGCCTTGACCATGCAGATTGTGTCCCAATCTCAGAGAATCTTTAAATATGCAGAGACCACCTGAGAAAGCCAGCATAAAGGATGCAGGTGTCAGGAGACCCACAGGGCATCAGAACAAGCCCTGGACTGGGGGCCTGATTCCTGGGTTCTCACCCAGTGATCTGCTGACTGCCAATGAGACCTCTACAGAGTCACACTCCTTGTCTGAGTCTCAGTTTCCCCAGTGTAAAATGGTGAATTAGACTGGAGAATCACAGAGGCCCCTTAGAAGGGCTGATCCATTTGCTAGGTGCCCCCAGAGCCAGTCCAAACAGGCCTGCTGAGGACTAACAGGCTGTGCACAGTCTGAACACAGGTCAGCAGGAGGTGCTGTGGGCACTTGGAGGAGACAAGAACTAACAGGGACATGTCTGGTCTCAATGAGAGATGGACAAAGATTTGAGCCTGTTCTTAAAAATAGAACTCAGAGGAACAATTCCGCCTTTTACCTTGAGCCTCTCCCCAGCCTTTGTCAACACAGGGATCTCACCTGTCCAGCCAAGACACCTTTTCCTAGTCCAGCATAGTAACCTCCCCAACACTCTGTGACCACTCTCCCCCGACTACCAAAGCTGTCACTGCAGGGGCACCCTTGTTGCTTCTGCTGCTTCACCATGTTTTCCAAGAATCAGTCGTGTTTCTGCCACCAGGCCTGTCAATTGTACTTCCCATGCATCTGTCTCCCACTTTTGCCAACACAAGGACCCCTGCTTCTATAACAGTCCTTGTCCCACCTCTGACAACAAAAAGGATTCTCATTTCCTCTGTTTATTGGTTGAGTTTCAGCTCAGCTATGTGAAACAGAAAACCAAGCAATGATGGCTTGAACGAAATATAATGGAAACATAAACATATTTTTCTCTTACATGAAAGAGACCCAGAAGTAGACCATGCAGGGCCAGCCAGGGTGCCCTCGATGTCAGGGACCAGGTTCCTTTACACAGAATTTTGTTACTTAACCATCTTCCCTAGGTAGCTTCCACTGCATGATATAATATGGCTTCTCGAGCATCAGCCATCACCTCTGCATCCCATCTGGCCAGGAAGGAGGAAGAACTGAAGAAGGGCATCATTCTTCCTCCTTAAGGACAGTTCTTGGAATCACACATAGCACTTTGGTTTATATCCCACTGGCCAGAACTTAATCCTAAGATCACCATTGGCTATGCAGGAGGTTCAGAGATGAAGTTTTTGTCCTGGATGACTGTGTTCTCAGCTAAAATTTGTCCTAATACTAAGGAAGAAGAGGAAGCAGCTACTTGGGGACAAGCCCTTTGTCTCTGTCAGTGCAGGACTGAAGCACACTTCTACGTTTTAACTCAGGGAGGACACCCTCCTCTCCCCCTCTCTAACAAACATCCCCCATCCCCTGCGATTTCTGTCACCTGTGGCAGCCCTCCTCCAGCTGCTGCTCCACGGACACACACTGCTTCTCGGTCCGTGCTGCGAGGTGGCCGTCCGTCGGAGGGCGCTGCTTGGGGGCCCCAGCGCGGCTGCTGCTGGCAGCGCTAAGCATCTTCGTCACGCGTCCCAGGGGTGGCGGCCAAGGTGGAGGACAGTGAGTGCGCTGGGGGTGGCGGTGGTGGTGAGGGCGGCAAAGGGGCAGACCCAGGTCCTTCTGCCATCCCCGTGCGCAGAGGAAGGCAGGGGCATTGATTGGTTCAGCCAAGGATGTCCTCCGGGGCTGCCCCCACGCTAGGCAGGAGGGTGCCTGATGAGGCCACGTCCCCATCCCCCTTAATCAGGGTCGTTGACCTGCAGAGTTGGGAACCTGAGCCACGCAACAGATATCCTTCCCTCTCCCCACTCCTTCCTGTGACCCCTTCTGGTTAGTCTAAAATTCATACTTGATCCGTTATATCATTTCACATGTTTTCCCCCCAGACTTATTCAACCAACTTGGGTGTGCTTTTTTTTGTTACTAGTTTTGAGTGTTTCACACAATTTTTGACCTGTCTCTGGATAGTCTAATTTCATTTCCACAATTCTGTTAAATTTTTAACCAGTTTACAGTATTTCCCACG